TGTTACCTGTATAAAAGACACCTGTCCACAGAAGCAATCAATCAATCAGATTCCAAACTCTCCACCATGGCCAAGACCACAAAGCTCTCCAAGGATGTCAGGGACATGATTGTAGACCTACACAAGGCTGGAATGGGCTACAAGACCATTGCCAAGCAGCTTGGTGAGAAGGTGACAACAGTTGGTACGATTATTCGCAAATGGAAGAAACACAAAAGAACTGTCAATCTCCCTCGGCCTGGGGCTCCATGCAAGATCTCACCTCGTGGAGTTGCAATGATCATGAGAACGGTGAGGAATCAGCCCAGAACTACACGGGAGGATCTTGTTAATGATCTCAAGGCAGCTGGGACCATAGTCACCATGAAAACAATTGGTAACACACTACGCCGTAAAGAACTGAAATCCTGCAGCGCCCGCAAGGTCCCCCTGCTCAAGAAAGCACATATACATGCCCGTCTGAAGTTTGCCAATGAACATCTGAATGATTCAGAGGACAACTGGGTGAAAGTGTTGTGGTCAGATGAGACCAAAATGGAGCTCTTTGGCATCAACTCAACTCGCCGTGTTTGGAGGAGGAGGAATGCTGCCTATGACCCCAAGAACACCATCCCCACTGTCAAACATGGAGGTGGAAACATTATGCTTTGGGGTGTTTTTCTGCTAAGGGGACAGGACAACTTCACCGCATCAAAGGGACGATGGACGGGGCCATGTACCGTCAAATCTTGGGTGAGAACCTCCTTCCCTCAGCCAGGGCATTGAAAATGGATCGTGGATGGGTATTCCAGCATAACAATGACCCAAAACACACGGCCAAGGCAACAAAGGAGTGGCTCAAGAAGAATCACATTAAGGTCCTGGAGTGGCCTAGCCAGTCTCCAGACCTTAATCCCATAGAAAATCTGTGGAGGGAGCTGAAGGTTCGAGTTGCCAAACGTCAGCCTCAAAACCTTAATGACTTGGAGAAGATCTGCAAAGAGGAGTGGGACAAAATCCCTCCTGAGATGTGTGCAAACCTGGTGGCCAACTACAATAAACGTCTGACCTCTGTGATTGCCAACAAGGGTTTTGCCACCAAGTACTAAGTCATGTTTTGCAGAGGGGGTCAAATACTTATTTCCCTCATTAAAATGCAAATCAATTTACAACATTTTTTAACATGCGTTTTTTCTGGATTTTGTTGTTGTCATTCTGTCTCTCACTGTTCAAACAAACCTACCATTAAAATTATAGACTGATCATTTCTTTGCCAGTGGGCAAACGTACAAAATCAGCAGGGGATCAAATACTTTTTTCCCCTCACTGTAACACCGTCAATCCACTGCTGGATGAGGGCCCTTGTGCAGGCTGGGGGGGGGGGGGGCACTGTATGACCATACTTCATCAGACCGGTACTAGTGGGGCGAGCTGGTACAGAGCACAAGAAGTGGGGGGAAGCATCGGACATTAGCGTAACAACGTCGCTCCGTCCACAGCCTATGGCAACCTTGTTTGTGCTTTGGTTGTGAACCCATCCAGGTAATGATCCAGGCTCAACTGTGCTTAGCTTCCGAGATTTCTGTCGAGATGGGGGGGGGGGGGGGGGTGGAGGTAAGGGGGCACCCCCCCCCATTCCAGGTGATTTGGCCATCGGCTCACTAATTAAGAGTGTAACATCTTCTTTGGTTCTTTCGGTAAAGTCACGTAGAATGAGAATAAAATAATAAATTGATAACATAAAATAACACAATAATATTCTCACGACGTTTCGGCCACAACACAAGCGGCCTTCATCAGGTGAAGGGGGCTGTCCTACCAGACAGTCTCGCCCCCTTCACCTGATGAAGGCCGCTTGTGTTGTGGCCGAAACGTCGTGAGAATATTATTGTGTTATTTTATTTTATCAATTTATTATTTTATTCTCATTCTACGTGACTTTACCGAAAGAACCAAAGAAGATGAATCATTGCAGTCACGAAAGCTTTAAATCGAAATTTAAGAGTGTAACAGTTGAGTAATGAATACCTTTAAGCGGTAATTATTACACATCGACAATTGTTCAAGGAATTTACTTAAACGCGATTTACGGTGTTGAGCAGGCGACCGCTGCAAATGTAGAAAAAAGCAGCTGTGAATCTTGATTGGAAGCTTCCGTGACTGCAGGGAATCCATTTGCTGTGTGGTTCTTACGGTAAAGTCACGTAGCTTTACCGAAAGAACCACAGAGTAAATAGCATTGACCCAGTAAAGTAAACTCATCACCTCACATCCGCCATCGCCTCACCCACATCATCATCAACTCACCCCCACACCATCATCACCTCACCATCATCACCTCACCCACACCATCATCACCTCACCCACACCATCATCACCTCACCCCCACCATCACCTCACCCCCACCATCACCTCACCCCCACCATCACCACCTCACCCTCACCCCCATCACCTCACCCCCACCATCACCACCTCACCCCCACCATCATCACCTCACCCACACCATCATCACCTCACCATCATCACCTCACCCCCATCATCACCTCACCCCCACCATCATCACCTCACCCACACCATCATCACCTCACCCCCACCATCATCACCTCACCCACACCATCATCACCTCACCCCCACCATCACCTCACCCCCACCATCACCTCACCCCCACCATCACCACCTCACCCTCACCCCCATCACCTCACCCCCACCATCACCACCTCACCCCCACCATCATCACCTCACCCACACCATCATCACCTCACCATCATCACCTCACCCCCATCATCACCTCACCTCCACCATCATCACCTCACCCCCACCATCATCACCTCACCCCCACCATCATCACCTCACCCACACCATCATCACCTCACCCCCACCATCATCACCTCACCCCCATCATCACCTCACCCCCATCATCACCTCACCCCCATCATCACCTCACCCCCACCATCATCACCTCACCCACACCATCATCACCTCACCCCCACCATCATCACCTCACCCCCACCATCATCACCTCACCCACACCATCATCACCTCACCCACACCATCATCACCTCACCCACACCATCACCACCTCACCTCCACCATCATCACCTCACCCACACCATCATCACCTCACCTCCACCATCATCACCTCACCCCCACCATCATCACCTCACCCCCACCATCATCACCTCACCCTCACCATCATCACCTCACCCACACCATCATCACCTCACCTCCACCATCATCACCTCACCCACACCATCATCACCTCACCCCCACCATCATCACCTCACCCTCACCATCATCACCTCACCCACACCATCATCACCTCACCTCCACCATCATCACCTCACCCACACCATCATCACCTCACCCACACCATCATCACCTCACCTCCACCATCATCACCTCACCCACACCATCATCACCTCACCCCCACCATCATCACCTCACCCCCACCATCATCACCTCACCCCCACCATCATCACCTCACCCACACCATCACCACCTCACCCCCACCATCACCACCTCACCTCCACCATCATCACCTCACCCCCACCATCACCTCACCCACACCATCATCACCTCACCTCCACCATCATCACCTCACCCACACCATCATCACCTCACCCACACCATCATCACCTCACCCCCACCATCATCACCTCACCCACACCATCACCTCACCCACACCATCATCACCTCACCCACACCATCACCTCACCCACACCATCATCACCTCACCCACACCATCATCACCTCACCCCCACCATCATCACCTCACCCACACCATCACCTCACCCCCACCATCATCACCTCACCCTCACCATCATCACCTCACCCACACCATCATCACCTCACCCACACCATCATCACCTCACCCCCACCATCACCTCACCCCCACCATCATCACCTCACCCCCACCATCATCACCTCACCCACACCATCATAACCTCACCATCATCACCTCACCCTCACCATCATCACCTCACCCCCACCATCATCACCTCACCTCACCCCCATCACCTCACCCCCATCACCTCACCCCCACCCCACCACCTCACCCCCACCCCCATCACCTCACCCCCACCACCACCTCACCCCCACCCCCATCACCTCACCCTCACCCCCATCACCTCACCCCCATCACCTCACCCCCACCCCCTCACCCCCATCACCTCACCCCCATCACCTCACCCCCACCCCCATCACCTCACCCCCACCACCTCACCATCACCTCACCCCCACCACCTCACCCCCACCCCGTCACCCCCACCATCACCTCACCCCCACCCCCTCACCATCACCTCACCCCCACCATCACCTCACCCCCACCACCTCACCCCCACCATCACCTCACCCCCACCCCCTCACCATCACCTCACCCCCACCATCACCTCACCCCCACCACCTCACCCCCACCATCACCTCACCCCCTCACCATCACCTCACCCCCACCATCACCTCACCCCCACCACCTCACCCCCACCATCACCTCACCCCCTCACCATCACCTCACCCCCACCACCTCACCCCCACCATCACCTCACCCCCTCACCATCACCTCACCCCCACCACCTCACCCCCACCATCACCTCACCCCCTCACCATCACCTCACCCCCACCACCTCACCATCACCTCACCCCCACCATCATCACCTCACCCCCATCCCCATCACCTCACCCCCTCACCATCACCTCACCCCCACCACCTCACCATCACCTCACCCCCACCCCCTCACCCCATCACCGATCCACTGCTGGATGGACCGTAATTTTCACACGCGTTTAATAAGTACTTGAGGGTACTGACGGTTAATTAACAATCGCGCGCACATATCAACTACGATTTGCATAACTATTCCGCGCAAATACGAATAATGACTCGTTCTTATTTATAAACAAAAACATTTTTTCTTTTAACGTAAAAACATTTTTTTTATTTTTTTAAAAAAGATAGCGGCCTGCCGTAGGCCGCGGCACACTCCCGCGGGCCCTAGCCCCTCGCCCCGACGCGGCTGCCGGCGCACCTCACCTGCAGGCCGGCCGGGTTCGGTCGGCCACCTGGGGAGCCACCCGGGAGTGTTTGGTTGGAGGTGAGGGGGGGGAATCTCCTCAACCGGGCCCCCCCCCTTCTCTCAAAGCGGCCGTGGGGGGGGGGGGGCGCTGGGGTTGTGTGGGTTTGCGGGCCCCCCCACTACTCAACAACAACAACAACCACCACCACCACCACCGGCGGCGGCGGCGACGGAGGGCACGTCTGGTGGTTGAAGTCGGCACGCCAGGCGCCGACTACCCCAGGGAGAGGGGTGACGAGAAGGCGGGAGAGTTGGGAGGGAGGGGCGTGGGAGGGGGCGGGGCTAAAGGTGGAGAGAGAGTGGGGGGAGGCGATGGTGGGGGGGGGAGGGGCGAGGGGAGGGGGGGGCGAGAGGGGGGGTAGAAGGGGGGGAGGGGAGACGGGGGGAGGGGGGGGAGACGGGGGGGAGGGGGGGAGATGGGGGGGAGGGGGGGAGATGGGGGGAGACGGGGGGGAGACGGGGGGGAGGGGGGGAGAAGGGGGGGAGGGGAGACGGGGGGAGACGGGGGGGAGGGGGGGAGATGGGGGGGAGGGGGGGAGATGGGGGGGAGGGGGGAGATGGGGGGAGGGGGGAGACGGGGGGGAGGGGGGGGAGACGGGGGGGAGGGGGGGAGACGGGGGGGAGACGGGGGGAGGGGGGGAGACGGGGGGGAGGGGGGGAGACGGGGGGGAGACGGGGGGGAGATGGGGGGGGGAGATGGGGGGGAGGGGGGAGACGGGGGGAGGGGGGGGAGACGAGGGGGGTGACGGGGGGGAGGGGGGGGAGACGAGGGGGGAGCGATGTTTGGGGAGGGGGGGGGGCTCTGAGTATCGCCCCCCCAGCCCACGCCGCCTTCCCTTCTTTTTCTTTAAAGCGGAATCGTCAATTGGCTGAAGAGTTCGTGAGAGGAGCGGTGGCGGTGAGCGTCACTTTGTAAGTGCTGTGCCCCCCCCAGTACCCCCCCTCGCCCCCTTAGCCCCGCCCCTCGTCCCCCTCAGCCCCCCCTAGCCCCCCACCAACTCAATCACCAACGTGTACACCACCCCCCCCCCCTGTTTATATAAACCAATCGTCGGTTTGGGGCCAATGACCTTCCTCAATAACTCTTAAGTAGAAAAAGGTCAGAGTTAAAATGCGCTGCCCATTAATTGTTCAAAGCCCTTCCCAACTCTTTGTGTATTCATATTCTTAGCTCTTTCGGTAAAGTCACGTTGAAGAGAAACAATAAAACATATATAAAACAATAAAAAAATTCTCACGACGTTTCGACCATAACACAAACGGCCATCATCAGGTGTGAAAACCGAACGGCAAGAAACATTTGAAAGAAGTGGCGGTTCGTATTTATTTATTTTTAAACGGTGTATTTTTTTATTTATTTAAAAAAAACCGTCAGCGCCACGCGCAGCGATTTGTCAGTTTATTTAGAAGGACGAGTCCATCTAAGTTCTGAAAAGAGGAGGGGGGAGACGAAAAATTAATGTATACTGTCTGAAAGCCACCACCGTAAGCGTGAACAATCAAATTTTGATTTAAAGCTTTCGTGACTGCAGGAATTCATTTTCTTAGTTCTTTCGGTAAAGTCACGTTGAAGGGAAACAATAAAATAATAAAATATATATAAAACAATAAAAATTCTCACGACGTTTCCTTTCAACGTGACTTTACCGAAAGACCTAAGAAATACGTGAACAATCAATTAAGACCTGAAATGGTTTATCAAATTCTTCCAATGATTGCTAAGCCAGAATACATCTTCTCGGTTGAGATTGTCTCTGTGCTTGTATATGTGGATAGCCTCATGAACGAATCTCTCATGGTAGCCAGATGGCTTACAAAGAACCTCTGTCTTGGAGAAGTCAATGTCATGTGAGCCTACTGAATTAGAACAATGATCTGCCACGGCCGAGGTGTTGGTCCTACCGTGTTTAAGGTCTGCTTTGTGTTCACGAATGCGGTCCGAGACATGGCGTTTGGTTTCTCCAATGTAACTACTACCACAGAGGCAACTTAGTTTGTAGACACCAGGGTACTGTATGTCCGGAATCACATCTTTTACAGACGGAACCAGATCACGGATTTTATGTAATGTGTTGAAACGGACCTGGATCTTTGTGTGTGTGTATGTGTGTGTAGATGTGTATATATGTATGTGTGGAGGAGGCTCGTGAAGGATGCTGCTACTGGGCAGTTGGAGGCAGTCGCCCTCCAACAACAACGGAGGGCGGAGGAGCGACGCTCACAACAACGAGCGGAGCGCCGGGTTGCTAAAGCACAGCAAGTTGGCACAGTAGGGGGCACAGGTGGTGCATCAGCCAGTCATCTCAGTCAGTCGACCCGTGGCACCTGGGTCTGCCCCGTGACCTCCTGCCAGCGGGCGTTCGACACTTCACGTGGCCTCAAGGTGCACATGGTCTGGCACAAGCGTCGTGGTAACGTCACCGCCACTTAGTGGCGAATGGCGGTTGTTGTTGTCAATGTGTGTGTATGTGTGTGTCAATGTCTGGAGCCGGTCAAACCGGCTCCAGTTTAACAGTAGAGGTCTCATTCCGAATCAGTCGAGCGGCAATATCTTTTCATCGGTTGCGTAACGCTGTGTGGAAGCTACCTGGTCTGTGGCTCCGCACTAAGCTTCGGGTCTTCTCGGCCACGGTCATTCCCTCCCTTCTCTACGCTTGCGAAACGTGGACCCCCCCCCTAATGGAACATCTTCGCTGGTTAGAAACATTTATGCTAGCCTGCCTACGATCCATCCAGGGATTAACCAGGCTGGATTGTGTGAGGAGCTCACAAATCCTTGAAAGATCTGGGCAAGGTCCCATCGGTGAGCTCCTCCGACAGGCAAGGCTGCGTTGGCTGGGTCATGTAGCCCGCATGTCCAGCCACCGCATGCCGAAACAGCTTTTGTTCGGCCGGATCGAGGGGGCTAAACGGGCTCGGCACGAGAAGAGATGGAGTGATGTGGTACAGGAGGACGTGGAAATGAGTGGACTTGCCGATGACTGATACCAGCGGTATCAAGATCGGCCTCTGTGGAGGAGGCTCGTGAAGGACGCTACTGGGCAGTTGGAGGCAGTCGCCCTCCAACAACAACGGAGAGCGGAGGAGCGACGCTCACAACAACGAGCGGAGCGCCGGGTGGCTAAAGCACAGCAGGTTGCCACAGTAGGGGGCACAGGTGGTGCATCAGCCAGTCATCTCAGTCAGTCGACCCGTGGCGCCTGGGTCTGCCCCGTGACCTCCTGCCAGCGAGCGTTCGACACTCCACGTGGCCTCAAGGTGCACATGGCCTGGCACAAGCGTCGTGGTGACGTCACCGCCACTTAGTGGCGAGTGGCGGTTGTTGTTTTTGTACGCGTGTGCGTGTCAATGTGTGTGTCAATGTGTGTGTCAGGCTATGTGCACCTTGAGGCCACGTGAAGTGTCGAACGCTCGCTGGCAGGAGGTCACGCGGAAGACCCAGCAGGTGCCACGGGTCGACTGACTGAGATGACCGAGTTGACTGGCTGATGCACCACCTGTGCCCCCTACTGTGGCAATTACCCCCACCCTCCCCCCAATTGACATACATACACACACACATACACACACACAGGTGGGAGCTGTGCGTGAAACTCGACACATCGCGTGTCGCTGGGGACGCCCTCTTGTTCACTCGCGTCGCTTCTTTGGTGCGCGCGAGTCACGCGTTTGGAACTGAATGGCAAATTGTGGGGGGGGCCTGGGGGGGGGAGCTTCACCCTCCCCACCCCCTCCCCGCCGCCACCCTCACCACACAACGCCAAACAGAATCCGCGTCTCTGGTGATGAATCGTTGGGATGGGCGGGCCACGGGTTCGAGTCCCGCTCGCGACACCCACCCCCCAGAGCCACCAGTGACGATTATCCGAACCGGTGCGGGTATCTGGGGTACTTCCCCCACTCCCACCCCCCACTACCCCTAGTTCGACTCGGCCACAAAATGAGTACCTGGTGCGATGCGTAATAAAGTCGTAAATAATAAAAACCATCAGCGCTTGGGATACAAAGGGGTCCGGGCGTGGTGCTCGCTCACAGCACTTGCCAACGACAGTCCGGTTAAGGTCTCGACGGGGGGAGTTTGTACGGCGTTTGTGTGGAAAATGTTAACTACCTCGCCTGGTGTGCAGGAGGTCGTGGGTTCGATCCCGACCCTGACGCCTGCTGCTGTATATTTGGAGTCTGCGTGTCTCTCTTTCTCATCATCATCACGGTGGCTAGGAGATGTTAACTACCTCGCCAGGTATACAGGAGGTCGTGGGTTCTCTCCCGACCCTGACGCCTGCTGTTGTATATTTGGAGTTTGCGTGTCTCTCATCATCATCATCACGGTGGCTAGGAGATGTTAACTACCTCGCCTGGTGTACAGGAGGTCGTGGGTTCGATCCCGACCCTGACGCCTGCTTTATATTTGGAGTTTACGTGTCTCTCATCATCATCACGGTGGCTAGGAGATGTTAACTACCTCGCCTGGTGTACAGGAGGTCGTGGGTTCGATCCCGGCCCTGACGCCTGCTGCTGCTGTATATTTGGAGTTTGCGTGTCTATCTCTCTCTCTCTCTCCACGTGGTCGCGTGGATTTTTCTCCGGCTCCTCCCGTTTCACCCCCTCGACATTTAAAATCTAAAGCAGTGCTGCGTCTCCTGCCGCTGCTGCTTCTTCTTCTTCTTCACCCGAGGTGCACGCGTTCGCGATCGGTGCGAGAAGCCCTTTTCTGTGGGCGCGAGACGCCGACAGATTTTTATTTATTTATTTTAGGGGCCGTCCTTAAATGACGTCACGCGATTTTTAACCCCCCCGCCCCCCCCCCCCCCTTGTCACACGGCGTCACAAAAAGTCAGACCCCCCCCTCAAATATGACGTCACAAAGCTCCGCCCCCACCCCCCCCAAAATCATATTTCCATTTTGAAAATAAAACATGCTTCAAATCGATTTAAACTATTGGCATTGTAGTGCGTATTTAATCTATTTAATTAAGTGGAACGTGTTGTCTATATTTCAAGTTGCGCATTTTAATGTGACGTCACATTTCTCAAAGCCCCCCCCCCCCCTCGTCACAAATGTCTGATCCCCCTCCCAGGTGCGTGACGTCATTTATGGACGGCCCCAAATACCGCGGCAGCAGCCGGGGGTGCCCCTGCGATCATTCAGAACCGAGGTCGCACACCAGCGCATAACCACAAATACACAGCGGTGACGATGATGATGATGATGCACTCCTAGTCCCCTACATCACTACCCCTATATCACCA